TATCTCACAGAAGGGTAATTCCACAAGCTTCCAGTGTCTCCACTCTTCCCCAAGTTTGGGGAAGGCCCCACCCATCTAAGAGGTGCTTTACCCTAGACCAATTCCCCACTAGGGGCTCCCCAATTGGAAGCCCCACAGATAGGGGGCTCCCAGGTGAAGCCACATCCTCCACTGCTGCAGCCACTGGGGCCTCCCCACCATCCACTGGGGGGTTTCCTCGTATCTTCCCACCATCTCTAGGTGCCGCCTGCCCACGGGTCATAGCCATAAAGACAGAGTTCATGTTCAGAGAGTCTGCCAACTATGCACATGTAACTCTGGGGGAAAAATATTTTCCCAGCCCAGGGCAAATTAGCTTTGAAATTGAAATCAGTCAAAGGGAGAAATAAAGTGGGAGCAACTCATTTATTGCCTACAAGCAGTTGTCTGCTTCTGCTCACCTGTATCTTTCACGACTTGGCTGCAAAAAGGGACCCCTCCCAATCTTTCTGATTCAGATATGCTCTCACTCCCTCATGTAATCACTTATTGATATGGAGATGGACTACTTTTCTCCACCCCTTGGACACACCTATTGATATAGATACGCATTAAGGCCAGCTGAGAGATTCTGGAAATCTTTCACGACTTGGCTGCAAAAAGGGACCCCTCCCAATCTTTCTGATTCAGATATGCTCTCACTCCCTCATGTAATCACTTATTGATATGGAGATGGACTACTTTTCTCCACCCCTTGGACACACCTATTGATATAGATACGCATTAAGGCCAGCTGAGAGATTCTGGAAATACTGCCATTTTACCCACAATGAGGAATCTTAAAAAGCTGCGCTCATAGAAACAGTAGCATGTTAGTTACCAGGCTCTGGGAGTTGAGGAAATGGGAAGATGTTGGTCAGTGGGTACAAGATGAATTTATAGGATGGCTAAGTTCCAGAGATCTAATGTATAGCAAGGTGACTATAGTTAACAATACTATATTATATACTTGAAAGTTGCTAAGAGAGTAGATCTTAAATGTTCTCACCATGCACACACACAAAGATAATTATGCTAGGTGATGAAGGTGTTAATTAACACTGTTTGGTAACCATTTTTATATATATGTCTATTAAGCCATGATGTTGTACACCTGAAACTTACACAATGTTATATGTCAGTTTTATCTCAATAAAACTGTAAAAAAGATGATTAGATTATCTTCTAATATTGGACTAAATATTAAAAAGACTACTTTTAATTATTTGATAGCAACTCTGATTTAAAAATATGTTTTAGGGAACCAAAGGAAATTGGTACTGAATAAAATAATCTTGACTTAAAATAAAAAGAGAGAACATGCCCACATTTGAAGCCACAGTCATTGTGTAACCTAATCTCACAAATGACGTCAATCCCATCACTTCTGTTGTATTCTGTTCTTCAGAAGCAATTCAGGAAGTTCAGTGCTTTTTATTGTAGGCATTATACTTTGTATACCTTTTCATTCTATATGCAATACACTCATTTTAAAGATTAAGAAAAAACAGAATTTGAGTATTTCTGTGACTGTGAGTGATGGAACTGAATTTCAGTCCAGCAGTCTTTGTGATTATGGGTTGTGTTTTTTTCCCAATTCACTATGCTTCTTCTTCAAGGTATACTCTAATTTAAAATGCTTTCAAAGTCATTAGCATTAGTGTCCGATACACACGTTCAATATTTTCCATTGTGACTTTTGAAGAGATAGTCAAATCCTCCTCATACATGGCACTGTTAACCATATGGCTTGATTGACTTACCCTTTGGCACAGGGTAAATGTTGGTTTTATCCTAGAAGCAAGTAAATGAATAGAGTCTACATCCCATATTACTTAGATTTGGAAAGAGGGATATGTAGGGGCAGTTTGTACTTATCCCAAGAGGGCATTGGTGACTAAGGAGTTTAATTTGGGTGAGGAGGGAATGATGTAACGTTGAGAGTGCTGTCCTGGGAAGGTGCAATTCTTGCTGCCATGTGGAATCTATCATCAACCAGGAAGCACCATGAGACAGGAAAAGAAGACTTCTCAGAAACAGTCTTTTAACTGATTCCATAAAGAGATGATGGGCTTCAATTTATTCACAACTTACTATTATTATTGTTTGCAAAGAATTATGACTGTATTAAACTCATTCTTTATTCATTTCTACCCACACATCAGCAACTTGACTTCTATTGGGAATCTTACTAATATCTATTTCATGTAAGAACATTGTATATTACTTCTTACGTGTTTCTGCATATATGACCATGAGTAAAGAAAACCAAATTGTATGGTACAGAGAAATATGGTTGTTGCTTGGCTCATTCTGTAGTTGAATGACTTGATTCCCCAGCTGTGCAGGTGCAATTAAAATTTGTATCTAAGAAAAATTAGAATTATCACATGTCACAAGCATTTGGGATCATTCCTAAAAGTTGAAGTTGCAAAAATTAAAGACACATATACCTAAAGTTTGTTCTAGAAGAACTACCTGCAAGTAGCTCTTGATGTAAAAAATAAAGGATGAAGCAAACATAGCAAAATATTAATGTTTGTCAAATCTAGTGAAGAGTATAGGCACTCATGCTATTCTCTGTACTTTTCTATGTATTTAAAGCTTTTCATTATAAAATGTAAACTTGGAAGAAAGATACAATGCTTTTTATTGTTGTCAAGACCTGTAAATTTTAAGATAACTAATTTCAACTTTGTGGTTCAAAATACCTCTTTAAATTCATATAATTTTCAAATCTTTTAGTTGTGGTGTTCTTTTCAGCCTAGTAATTTAAAACAATGTTCAGTTGCTTTAGCCATGGATATACTTTATTATTATTATTATTATTGTTTTGTCGTTATTGAATTTTTTACATTCTCTGTTGTAGGAATGTTTCAAACATTCTCTTTTGAAATTGAAGTACAAATAGCATTGAGTTATATAATTGCCTCCCCCTCATATGCCCACTATTTTTGTAGTTTCAAATTTTTTTTTCTCATTTTCTGTATTCTCATTAAAAGCAACCAGCAATTCCTGTTTTAGGTTGTCATTGTCATCTGAGCAGGAAAAGTGCAGAGGAGTTGTGCTTCCATTTCTCATTGATAGGTTTTATGCCTCTTACATTTAATCATTCATTTTGTCATCCTGGTATTGTGCTTTAGGGATATCTACCATTATATAGTTTATATACAAAATAAATACTGCATCTAGATAGGTAAGAACTGTGCATTCAAGGAGGTTTTTTAAAAAATAATGTTTAAAATTCAGATGAAGGGCATTTTTCTCATTAACCCATTCCTGTGCCTTCTTCACTGAAGTTAGGGGCAACTCATAAACTTGCCTTATTGAGAAGGTGGAAAGGACTCCTTCTAGGCATATATTTATTAGAATCTTTTTGATCTACAGATAAGACATATAATATGAATTCTGGCATACAAGGTCAACTACAAAATAATGATGTTAATTTCCATAAGCCACATAAAATTGATTTAATTTTGTCACAGTTACACCTTATACCTATGACATATAGTAAACTAATCATTTGTTGTTCATCCTGGTTTTATTTATTCCATCACCATTAAAAAAATCTTTTTATATATTTTATATTGTCCTAGAAAGTAAAAGGCAAGCTCCTTGAGTGCAGGAGTGCCATTGACCTTCTCTGTTCTTCTATTCTGATTGGCATCCTAGTTAAAAGCCAGGTCTCAAAATCTCAGGCACATAACTGCAGTTATGTGAATAGCCATGGGACCTTGGACAAAGTACTTAACTTCCCTACCTCTCATTTTCATTTTCTCATTTGCAAAATGGAAATAGTCATATTACTTTATCTTATAGGTTCTAAGACACACTTTTTTGTTCACATTTTTACATCTTGTGTGCTCAGAGCCTATCTTACAGACAATTGAGTTTTATGAATCATTGTGCATGTGATTTGACTCCATCTTGGATTATAGGTTCTCTCCCTGAGGGATAGTGTTTGTTTTGTTTTTGGTACCATTGGTGTGAATCCAGACTGCAGTGAGTGGTACAAATTCTCAGGGAAGTTTATTTTCCCTCCCTCCCCAAGGAGCATGATTAGGACATGTAAGTTTTGTTCCTATTATTTTCCCCATGGCTTGCTTATTTCATGCTCCCTTGTACAGAGAGGTTGTAGTTCATTGGTGGCTTAGTTTTATGCGGGAGTTAAGACTCCCCACCTTGGGCATTCTCCTTTCTTGGTAGCACATAAAATAATGGTGCATTCTTTCAGTCAGTGATGTTTTAGATCTGATGAAATCCAACCTACCTTAAATGGTTGCTATCAGCATAAATTAAGGTAATATGTGCAGCTCTTTGTTGCCTGGCACATAGTAAGCATTTGATATAAATTAGCAATTGTTTCATATCTTGGTTGCACTTGTTCTGAGTTGCGTGGTGCTATTCTTCTTCCCTGGTTTGTGTGCGTGTCTTCCACTCCCTGGCCCTCCTCTAGGTTAGTTTATGTCTATCTAGGTTTCTCCCAGTGTCCTCAGAACCTAGTGACATTTACTAGGTTTGCTGAAGGTGAATTGAATTGAGTAAGGGGAAATGAGTTCTAGTCTTATCTTTATTTTTAACTAGCTTTCTGACTAAGTCACTTTATCCTTCAGGATGTGAAGTTCTGTATCTTTAAAAAGATCAGAATGAACATCAATCCTTAAAATCATGCTCACCTCTACATTTTTATTTTTAAATAAACTTTTAAGTTTGGATGTACAGAAAAGTTACAACAGTGGTACAGAATTCTCTTCACCCTGTTCTGTTAACAGCCTCCATTACCGTGGTACATTTGTTAAAGCTGATGTCCCTTCTGTATTCTAAGATCCAGTGTAGGTTGCCACAATGCATTTAGTAAAACTTGACTTTAAGATTAAAATGTTATACTATTTTATGTATGTTTAGAGTTTTGAAGTATAGGATATTGGTTATTAAAACCATAAACATTTGATGGAATTCACTTAATGTGTTTCAATTTTCAGGTTTCCATGGTGCGAGGTATACAAAATTTGATTAATGCCATCAGAATGATTCACAGTGTGTCAAGATACTATAATACCTCAGAGAGAATGACCTCATTGTTTATCAAGGTAAGTTTCCAAGGGAAAAAAAATCACACACACAACCCTGTGAAAAAGTTCATAACGCTTTCCCTTTGAGCCGGGGAAGGGAAATGGGAAGTCTGAGTGCCTCTCAGAGTTCTGGATTTTCATACTTCCAGTGGACAAGAAAGAAAAGGTGTTGACTGGAGTCAGTTGTATGTAATTTAAAGAGCACCTTTCTTCTTGTCAGAGGTGAGCCCTAGGCTTTTTGTTTAAATGTAGCCAGTGATGCTTGTAATGTATCCATTCCAAATAGTTTGCCCAAGAGCTAAGAATTCTGCTCACAATTAACAAGTTGCTCCAAATTCAGTGTGCAACAGCATCACAACTGAGGGCCATCTCACTTTGTCTCCCGTCTTGCAGATTTCTCGTCACTGTCCACCTTCACAGTAACCTTCTCCAGAACTGGGTTCTGTTTTTCTCTAGTCTCTTGTTTTTTTTTTGTCTTGTAGATTTAATCCCATGTGCTTTCCACAGTTTAAGAATTCTCCAATGTTTCTGTGCGTCAGTCTGCCATCTCGATCTACCCTCCTGACCACTTAAATGGCTCTTGTTTCTTTTTTTTCCCCCCATACTGTTTTGGGGGATGTGAGAGGTGGTGAACTTCATATTTAGTTTGTATGTTGGAGGATGGTGAAGAATCATACTTGGACTGGGTTAAGACCTCCTAGAAGAGACATAGACAAGGGGAAAATACGGTTGACTTTGAAATTTATGGCCCCAGTGACATAGACTTAAATGTAGTAGGTAAATGTGACTTTGGGTCTTATTTGACTGGAGTGTCTATATTTATTTGTTTTTTTTATTTTGTGCTTAATTAATTCTGTGAGTTTACTAACCATATATTTATGCTTGTGATTTAAAAAAAAACCCAAATTTCATTTTCTCTTTACCTATAGTTATCTTGGACTTATATTTATTTTAGATAACAAATCAAATGGTGACAGCATGTAAAGCTTATATTACTGATGGAGGAACTATCCATGTATGGGATCAGGAAACACCACTTGTGTTAAAGAAAATTCAGGTTTGTATAAGTATTCTTATTTTCGTAGTAAAGTTTTCACCATCTGGCCCAATTTTGTTTACTCTCTTCATTCACAAAACATGTTAACTTTGGAAGAAACAATGTACAGAGTAGCATATAAGAATATAAAAAGAACTTATTAAAATGATCTACTCCCCTTTATATTTAGTGCTCCTTTTAGGGTATAATTTAATCTTCATCTTCTCCTGTAATGACTGCCTGTATCAGACCCCTCTTGTGTGCTTTCGCGTCTCACTTCAGCCCCTGTTAATTTCATTTTCTTACCTTTTTGCATTGGCTAGGACTGCCAGACATCCTTAAATTGGCATAGTGATAGTTGGCATCTGATTCTTTTTATCTTTTATTTATTGAGGTGTCATTGATATACAATCTGATATTGAATTCAAGTGTACAACACCGTGGTTCAACAGTTACCCATATTATTAAATCCATACCCCCACTAGTGCTTTTACTATCTGTCAACATAAGATGATGTTACAGAACCAACTGACTATATATTCTGTGATGTACTACTATCCCCATGGCCAAATTATATGTGATTGAGAAGTTTTGTGCTCCTTTATCCTGATTACCAACCCTACCCACCGACCCCAACCTCTAAATGAACAAAATAGCAGTAGACTCATAGATATTGAGAAGTGACTAGTTGGCATCTGATTTTTGTCTATTGAAAGAGAATGTTTCTAACATTCTCCATTTAGTCTGGTGCTTTCATAGGTTTTAAATACATCCCTGATTAGATTAGGAAGTTCTGTTCCTACTTTTAGTACTAGAAGATATTTTTTAAAGATATGAATAGGTTTTGAAAAAAAATCTTTTCTGCACATATTTATTGATATGCTTATAAGATTCTTCTCAGTCTGTTAATGTGATGGTTGACATTTTTAGGTTTTCCAAAATGAAGCTATCCTAATATTCCTTGGATAAAGTCAATTTGGTCATGGTATAATTCCTTTTTTAAAATACTTTTTAAAAAAAATTTAGTTTGCTAAAATTTTGTTCATGTTTTTTACAATTATATTCATGAGGGGAATAGTCTGTATACTGTCCTTGTCAATGTTTTTGGCACTAAGGTCTTAGAATAAGTGGGGGTGGAAAAGGGGAAAGAAGTATTTCCTTTTATCCCCCTTTTTTTATTCTCTGGAAAAGTATGTAAAAGATTTTTGTAATTCTAAAAGAAATGACCACATCAAGAAGGCTACAACTGGAAATGGTTATTGGCTGTCTTCATACACTGATTCCAGGGTTTTGCAGAGCCATGACATGAGGCTGGGACTGAGAGGTAGAGCCAGAAAGAATGCTGAGTGCCCTCAACCCAGGGCGTGAGCTGCTGCACTCACAGGGCTGTCCCCAAGCACTGCTGTCACTGTGCTCTGACCTCTGGAATCAGAGGATAAAAAAAAGTGTTCAGGAGAAACAGAAGATGAAGAATTGCAATTCCAATGCTGGTTGTTTTCTACTTTTTTGGTAGTAGTTATCCTAATGGGTATGAAGTGGTATCTCACTGTGGTTTTGATTTTCCTAATGGCTACTGATGGTTGAACGTGTTTGCATGTGTTTATTGGCCATTTGTGTATCTTCTTTGGAGAAATGTCTATTGAAGTCATTTACTGATTTTTGAAATGGGTTGTTTGTTTTGTTATTGTTGAGTTGTAGGAGTTCTTTATGTAGTCTAGTTATGAACTCCCTATATATGCTTTACAAATGCATTACTGACTCATTAAAAAAACTAGTTATTTGGCTATTATTTCTATTCTTCATTATTTCTATTAGTCAGTTTTAGCAATATTTCTGAGGAATTTATCCAATTTGCCTAAAATTTGAAATTCAGTAGCATAATGTTGGTAATATTCTCATAATAATCTTTGCCTTTTATATGTTTACTTATTCATTAATAATAATATTTATCTTCTCTCTGTTTTTTATTCACTCTTGCTCACTCTATCCCCAGATTCAAAACAACCCAATATCCTCCTAAGAGTTTCTCATTTCTGTTGTTATTGTTGTTTGTTGGATTCCATGTCTCCCTTTATAGTTTCTTCTGAGTTAATTTTAGAGGTGGTATTCCAAAATTGCTCCCCTAAAGTTTACCAATTTGTAGGAATCAGAACTCTTTGCATGGAATTTAGCTATTAGTCTTATAATTCTTTTAATATTCTTAAAGTCACAAGTCATTATGCTGACTGAATTAGGAATAGCAGCTTGGTTTTCTGAATTCTAGTTTCTATTACATCGAAGTTTCAGGAAACTTTTACTGTATAGTTTTTAGGAATAATTTTTGGGTGAGTTGGAGGAAACAATGAGAATTGTTATTCAGGACCATATTTGCCCAAGATGAAAATATTGGTTGGTGAAAAGGAAGTAATAATTATTCATTCCCATTAGATGATATATTCCATGAAGTTTAGGAATCCTATCTGTATTCCTAGCATCTCAAGGAATTCCTAACTCATGATAAGCACTGGTAAACTGTTGTTGGATGAGTGAAAAATAATCAGTGACCTTGAGAACAAGGATGTTATTTTAGAGATTGAAGTAAAGGAAGGAGAATGTGTCAGTTAGAAGCAAATAGGAGACCGATTGTTTACAAAATCTGAATGTTTGTAGGAATCACCTGGGGAACTTGTTAAAAATATAAATTCCTAACTCCCATTCATAAAAATTTTGATTTAGTGGCTATAATAGGCAGAATAATGGTCCCCTTCAAAAATGTCTACATCCTAATTCCTAGAACCTGTGAATATGTTTTGTCACATGGCAAGGGGGAGGTTAAGGTTGCAGGTGGAATTAAGGTTGCTAATCAATTTAGGATGGGGAGATTATCCTGGATTATCCAAGGGGGTCCAATGTAATAATAAATCTTTACTTGGTGAGGAGAGAGATGGAAGAATCAGAACCAGAAAGATGGCATTATGGTTAAGATTTGACATGCCATTGGTGGCTTTGAAAAAGTTTAAAATTATTTTATTTATTATTTGTTATTTATTTTTTAATTGGAAACAAATTGATATACAATATTGTATTGGTTTCAGATGTACAACATAGTGACTCAGTAATTATATTCATTACGAGATGTTTGCCATGTTAAGTGTAGTTCCCCCTGTTACCATACCAAGATATTACAGTATTATTGGTTATATTCTATCTGTTGTACTTCCATTCCTAAGACTAACTTATTTTACAATTTGCATTTTGTACCTTTTTATCCCCTTCACCTATTTTACCCATCCTTCCACCCCACTGCCTATGGTAACCAGCAGTCTGTTTTCTGTATTTATGGGTCTATTTCTTTTTTGTTCATTTGTTTTGTTTTTTTAGGTTCACATATAAGTGAAACCATGGAGTATTTGTCTTTCTCCACCTGGCGTATTTCACTTAGCATGATACCCTCTAGGTCTGTCCATGTTGTCACAAATTGGCAAGATTTTCTTCTTTTGTATGCCTGAGTATGTTCCATTGTGTATATGTACTACATCTTCTTATCCATTCATCGGTGGGTATTTGGGTTGCTTCCGTGTCTTTGCTATTGTAAATAATGGTGCAATGAACATAGATATGCATACATCTTTTCAAATTAGTGATTTTGTTTTTTTGGCTAATCCCCAGACGTGGAATTACTGGGTTGCAGGGTATTTCTATTTTTTAGTTTCTTGAGGAACATCTATATTGTTTTCCTCAGTGGTTGGACCAGTTTGCATTCCCACCAACAGTGTAGGAGGGTTCCCTTTTCTCCACATCCTTGCCAACACTTGTTATTTCTTGTCTTTTGGATATTAGCCATACTTAACATTATTTTAAAAATGGTTTGTTTTTAGGAGATGTTAGCATGATATGAATGACAGTGAATTCTTAATGGATCCTAGTGATCATGTCCTCTTTTATATTTCTGATATGTTCACTAGCCTAGTTGAACTGGCCAGTGGCATAGCTGTAGTCAAATATCAGGATTTCAGCAATGCAGTCATCAAAGACTTTATGATCTCCTTGTGTAGAAATAATAATGGTTGGGTGATTATGTTTTACATGCCTATCCATAAAGAATGCTAATTAAAAGACAGATGCCAACTGAATAGATAATTGATAACAAATAAAATTGATAGATAATTTCTGGCCTCTTGGTCTTGCTAATTAGCCATGAAAATGTATGTCATACTTATATATGTTTACATACACGTATGTCATATGTATGTTTATGCAGTATATGTCATACTTTGATACAGATAAGAGAAAAAAGTGAATGAGGAAGATGAAAAATGTGATGTGAATTTATAAAACTATATTCATTTTCACAGGTTTTTCAATGTGTAGGCAGAGAACTTTAATTTTTAATGTTAACAACAGTGGCTCCTATTGAGTGTCTGATGTGATCAGTTTGGCGTGAGAACAGGAGTTTTGAATCTTTAACTCCTGAGCAAAGTCTCATCATCCTTTCTCTTCCTTCTTTATTTTTCTTAAAGGACTGCATTTTTCTATTCAAGGAATATCAGACATCTTTTCACAAGACAAGGGAAAAGATTTTAGAATCTTCAGGGGAAAAATCTTTTGAAGTTTCAGAAATGTATATATTTGGAAAATTTGAAGCTTTCTGTAAAAGACTGGAGAAGGTAAGCATTATGCAGTCACTGTACTCACCACCAACCATACCTTCTGGTTATTTTGTATTTTACATAAGACCATTGAGAATCATTGTCCCAGATCTCTCATCTCACTGTTGATATGTATCATCTGGTATTACTCACAGGTCACTACACTTTATTATAACTTAGTTTTTCATTCCTGATTACTGCAAAACCGTTGCAAACTTTTGCCTCTCTCATGACCTCAATTCTACCTCCACCTATGGAACTCAAACTTAAAAGCCTCTGTTTGTAAACATTTCATTAAGCTGAGAGAAACTGTGAGATGAAATACGTACAGTACCTGGCAAAACCCAGTAGTTGCGTAATATCTGGATGAATAGGCACCTTCTCTTTCTAGGTCAGTAAAAATGGTATACTCATAAACATTGAGTGGGTGATGCCTTTGCTGGGCAGACATATGTTAGAAATTTCTATACCTTTGATTCATTTTTTAGGACTGCTGGGGGATGAGTAATTTTTTTTTTTCAGGGGACAGGGCAGTCCATACCAGAGGCTTCTGGAGTCAGCCTTTGAAATGTCTATACAGATATCACCTAGGTACCACCCTACCCACACCTCTACCATTTTGTCAACTCCCAAATCTTGGTAATATTTAGGATCCTGTTCATCATTTATTGGAAATTGGTGAGGGCATTACACAGGTTGAAGGGTATTTCCTAGACATGTGGGAGGCCTATTTTTTATTTGTAACCTCCTGATCCAGCCATGATAGGAAAATACAAGTGATGCAGAGAACCAAGTTATTGAATGGGGTCCTTCATTCATCCATCCTTGAGGCTGTTTTTTGTTTCTTTAGCAGCCTTATTGAGATATAATTCACATATATACAGTTAACCCATTTAAAGTATACAAGTCAATATTTTCTAGTATATTCACAAGGCTGTGCAGCCACTGTAGCAATCTACTTTTAGAACATTTTCATTCCCATTGAAAGGAAACCTATACTCATTGGCAATCACATTCCACTCTCCCCTCTTCCCAGCCCTAAGTAACCACTAATCTACTTTCCGTTTCTATAGATTTACCTTCTGTATATAAAAATGGACTCATAATATGTGGTCTTTTGTGACTGACTTCTTTCACTTAGCATGTTTTCAAGGTTCCCCTATGTTGTAGCATTCCTTTTTATTGCTGAATAATAGTCCATTGTATGGATACCATATTTTATTTATACACTTATTAGTTGATGGACATCTGGGTTGTTTCCACTTTTTGACTATTAGGAATAATGCTACTGTGAACATGTTTGTACACATTTTGTGTGGACATATGCTGTCATTTTTCTTGAGTATATACAGAGGAGTGGAATCACTGGGTTATATAGTAACTCCTTTTTTAATTTGTTGAGGAGCTGCCATATTACTTCTTAACACAGCCACACCATCTTACACTCTCACCGGCAATGTGTGAGGCCCTGATTTCTCCACAGCCTCGGCAGCCTTTGTTATCACCCGCCTTTTTGAATTTAGCCATACTAGTGGGTGTGAAGTATTGCCTCATTGTGGTTTTGGTTTACATTTTTTTGATGACTAATGATGGTGAATATCTTTTAATGTCCTTATTGTCCATTTGTAATTCTTCTTTGGAGAAATTTCTATTCAAATCCTTTGCAAATTTTAAATTTAGTTATTTGTATTTTTACTGTTGAGGTACGAGTTCTGGGTATAAGTCCCTTATTAGATGCAATTTGCAAATATCTTCTTTCATTCTACTCTTTTCACTTTCTTGATGTGTCTTTTGAAGCACAGTAATTTTTAATTTTGATTAAGTCCAATTTATGAAGTTTTTCTTCTATTGCTTGTGCTTTTGGCACAGTATTTAGGAAACTGTTGTATGGAACTGCTTTGTGAACAATAGAGACTTCTTGGGGGCAAATGTCCAATTAGAAGGATATCAGCCTGAGTCAGAGTAACCCATAGGTTGCTGTGGACAGAACCTGCTTCTTCTTTGTCTTCCTGCCATGTAAATTTTGGTGACTATTGATATTTCCTAGAGCTCCTTCTTTAGGTTTGTTTTCTTTGCACCCTGAACATTTGTGTCAGGGAAGAGAAGGGATGGGTGGCTGGTATTGCTGCGGGGAGACTGAAGGAACCGGAGCTAGGAGGAGGTCTAGGGTCTTTACTCCCAGTGACACAGGGACGAAGGAATCATAGCAAGTTGAGAACTGGAAAGGGTGCTAAGGTGGGTGAGCAGAGACGGGATTATGAATTGGTTGTCGATATGAGAGGCCAAAGGTCAGGAGAGCTGGTGATAAGCTGAGACGAGGATGAGCGAGTGGGAGTGTGATTGCTGGTGCTCACCTCACATGACTGACTCTTCTGCTGTCACTCTGTGGGCAGAAGAGTGGGAAAGCTTTTGAATACAGTAATCCAGTGAAATGACTTGCAGAAACTTCCCAAGAACAAAAGGATGAAGCTATTTGCAAGACATCTGTCAGGGCTTTTACTCAAATTGGCTTTTTCTCCCTCTTGAAAGACAAGTGACCAAATTCTGAAAAAGGTTGTTAACAGTCTCTGGATATGATAGAACATCATTTATTTTAAACAGTCTAGAGTAGTAGTTATTGGTGACAGATTTGTTTTCTCTTTTATCTCTTCTGGTTGGTCTTAGCTAAATGATTCTAAGGCCTGTTTATTGGTTTGTTTTTTTAAATCAATGATTCAGTAAGAATTCACTTTAGGGAAGGGTGCTAATAGTACTACTTTTTAAATAAAATTACATTTCTCTTTTTAAGATTACAGAAATGATAACTATTTTGCAAACATACTCAACCTTGAGTAATTCTACGATACAAGGAATAGATATTATGGCAATAAAATTGAAAAATATATATCAAGGGGTTAAGAAAAAGCAATATGATATTCTGGATCCAAGGAGGACAGAATTTGAAACAGATTTCTTAGAGTTCATGGCAAAAATCAATGCTTTAGAGGTAAGTAATTATGCATACTCTTTACTTTAGTTCAGCTGAAATGTAATTCATGTATTTACTATTTGTAAGTGACTTTTGCAAATTGATAGGGAAAAAAACATTGCCAGTGTGAATAATTTTAACTAGTACACAAAATATTTTCCTTCTTTTTTTAAATGAGGCTATTCAATAAAAGACAGCAGTGAATAACCAGAAGCCCAAAGGGCTGTAACTAGGGTTCATTTTTAGTTTACATTAAAATTTGTATTCAGTTTTTATTGTGCCAAGGAGCCGATCATTTTTCCAGTGGAAGGGAAAATTTGGAGTCCATTTTCTTTGTTTTAAGTGTGAAAAGATTTGATGACAGTAGGACTGTGGATCACTTTCCCCCTGGCCTTGTACTTTATGGCCATATTCTATCTGCAGCATAGAGGACAACTCTGAAGAGGCGCTCATCCTGTCTGTTATAGCTTATGGGGCACCAGAGGAATGAAGGGTAGTTAAAAAGTGTGTCTGGTGAGACTGCAACCTATTTCTCTCACCTTTTGGGCTTATATGACCTCAGTTACTCTCTTACTAGAAACTACTAAAAAACCAGGGTTAGCCCTGGGGAGTGGTCTCCTCTTTGCTGAAGAATGTCACATAGAGGGATAAGAACTGAAGCTGAAATTCTTGCCATGAAGGTGAGAAAAATTTATATGTTTTTCTCACTTATTTTTTGATGATTCTTTGAAAACTACATTACATATACTCTGGGCCATAGAAATAAGAAAGATCCTAAAATTCTAACAATATCACCTTTTCTTTTGAGCTTTTGAAAGTTAGGCTCTTTGATAGTATGATATATTTTAGTTATTACTCTTAGTGTTTGGCTTTTTGGGCAGGTTGGAATTTGCTTCCAAAATGGTCTGGGAGTTATAGCTTTATGGCAATGGGAATTTGTGGGTTAAAAAAATTATTGTTTAAATTATTTTTATGATTTACTAATAAAGATTATTTGTCATAAAGGCTTTACTGGGGTCTTCGATACAAATTTTAGTTTTCAGTATATTTAGAGGACATATTAACTTTTTAATATTTTAAAAGAGGTGCCAGCTTTTTAATGCTCCTTCCTTTCCCAATGTTTGATTAATGCACGTGGCATATATTAGTAGACCATACCAATACAATCTATAAGTGAAAGTAACTTACAAAGGGTGCCACAATTCCATTGGTTGGGTACCAGGAATCTGGAGTTCACTGCAGGGATGGTGGGAGCCTCAGAAGAATATTTTCTTATTCTTGCTTAGCATGGCAAAGAGGTTTCTGAGAGCAGCAGTTGGAAAATACCACCTGTTGACCATGGGTGTCTAAAGCATTATTACATTGCTCTACTAATATGCTTAGAAATTCTAAACAATTCAAAGAAAGACACTTGGTTAGGGACATTCCCTTATAAATTCTCTAGGTCAGTAATAGTCAATAAATAATGAGTGGCAAATGCAAACCGCATATGTAATTAAAATTTTTCTGTTAGCCACATGAATAACAGTTAAAAGAAACATTTTAATTATATAGTTTATTCAGCCCAACATACTAAATATATCATTTTTACATGTCATCAGTATAAAAATCACTGAGATATTTTACTTCTTTTTTTTTGTACTAAGTCTTTGAAATCTAGGTGTGTATTTTATACCTATAGCTCATCCTACTCCCAAGTAGTAGCATTTCAAATGCTCAGTAGCCACATGTGCCCAGGAGCCACCATACTGCACAGTGCAGCTCTATATGCTTAGATGGTAGGTGTGTTTAAGGCTATTTTGATTCTCTAGGAAAATCTTTAATTGTTCTTAACCCAGTATAATCTCTTCCATAATGCCAAAAATCATTTAAATATTAGTATTTTATTTCAGATACAAATACAGGCATTTATGAACAGTACTTTTGGAAAAATCTTATCTTCTCAGCAGGCTCTTCAGCTTCTTCAAAGGTATTTATAATCCAGTAAGCAGTATAGTTTCCAGGTGGGATAACTTCGTAACTGAAAATAGAATTTCAAATAAGATGTTCTTGAAAGTCTCTCCTATGTAAACTTTAAAACTTACAAACCTTAATCTTTTACTATTAAATAGACTGGTAAAATTTTGAAGTATGATTGTTTCATTGTTTTTTTAGTAGTGAAAAGTCTTTCAATAGGAATATGAAATTATTTCTCATTCTTTTTTTCTCTCTAGCTATGTAATGTATTTGAGGTTAATTTCATAAGTGTTATTGGAAAGGGAACAAATAATGTTTAATTCTGCATGCTGAAAGGATTTCTGAAAGTGAAATTGTCTAGGGCTAGTAGCTCCCCAAACTTTGCATTTCTCCTTCTGAGTGCTCCTGCAGCTCCCTTTCCTTCTAGTCCTGCCAGCAGAGTTCCCCTAAAGGGCAGGAAAGCCTGGGTTAGAGGGACAAGCTGGACTAGCAGCTGTTCCCTTCCAAGGAGGCATGGGAAGGGCTCACAGCCCATGGTAGGGACCCTTTGGCGGCTCTCCTGAGAGCCAGTGAATCTGGGTTTGGTCCCAGCTTTGCTATATAATGATGGGTCATATGTGTGAGACCTCATCTCATGAGACCATCATAAAAGTCAAAGCGACATAAAGTGATTTTGACAAGGGACAGTACTCTACAGTTAGATGGCAGGTACCATTTTCTTGGCGAGTACTCTGTCTCTGCCTCTCTTTTGACCTATAGTGTGCTTCTGTCAGTTCCCTTACATGAGAAAATTACAGTTCCAGTAGTTCCTGTGCATCACTTAGCCTCTAAGTGGAAATGATATTTGGCTGACAAAGTCGTTATTATGGTTATGGCTATTTGGAATTACATAAGCATTAATATTGGCAGAGGGGCAGTCAGCATGCTCCCCTCCACCTCTGCTAAGCCAACTCCCCACTCACTCTTTTCAATCTCAGTTTAAACATCAACTTGCTCAAGAAAGTCTCTCTTGTCTCCCCAGACTTGCCTGGGTTCCCCTGTTAAATGCATTTCTGGCACCCTTGTAATTTAAGTAATTATTTATCTAACTCTTGATTGATGTTTGTCTTTTCCATAAGGTAGGCTTTAAGAGAGCTGGGATCACACCTGTCTTATTTATCACCATGTCCTAGGGCAATGCATGAGGCCAGAGATGAATATTTGTCAAATGAGTGAATGAATGAATTTTTAGGACTTCAGCAATTCTTAAGTGTGTTTCTTGTTTATTTTTTAATTATTCACTTTCAATTACTTTTAGATTCCAGAAGCTAAACATTCCCTGTCTACAATTAGAAATAAACCACACAATTGGGTGTATTCTTCAGTATTATGTGGCTGAACTTGAAGCTACTAAGAAGGCAAGTATCATATTTATAAATAGAATGATACTTCAGTACAAAAAGAAAAAAGTGAATATTTCCCATCATTAATTTGTGCCAAACTTTTCAGAGTGAGCTTTTCATTACTAAGAACCTCTGATCACTCCTCTATATGTGCAGTGTATGTCTCTGGACAGCCAGATTTATATCCCTATGTTCTTAAGAACTGTCTTTTCCCAACTGCATTCATGTGTGTATAGAAAAGCCCACTTAAAGTAGTATGTTCATGTATGGAAATATGAGCTCTGGAGAATATGATGACAGAGATAATGTAGCTATGTGCTCCCTCCTTTGAACTCCTTAAAATTTGGAACAAAAGGCAGAAAAATGTATAAGTAATGGGAAATAAAGGTCAAGAGAAAATTAAATGTCATATATCACAAACACCATAGTTCCTGAGCCTCAGGTTAATATTTCTGCAGTGTGTTATGTATTTATTGACCACCTCCTGTATTACCTCTGAAGTACAGTTACATATTTACTAACCACCTCCTGTATACAAAACATGTGAATAATGGTAAAACATCAATGCAAATATAGTTATTTTTTGCCTCCTCAATCATATTGAATTTTAAAGATTAATACCAGATCTTTAATTACAGATTTATCATTCTCAAAAAGATGATCCCCCTCTTGCTCGCAACATGCCACCTATAGCAGGAAAAATACTTTGGGTGAGGCAGCTCTATCGCCGGATAAGTGAGCCCATCAACTATTTCTTTGTAAGCCAATAGTTAAAAATTTGTGGATTATTATGGTGGTTTTTAATACAAGAAATATATTTTATTCTATAATATTTATGTCCAACAATATAGTCAGAGCTAATTGTTTTACCAGGCAAAGAAAATTTAGTTTATAAATATGCTTGAGGGGGACTAAGCCAATTCTTTCATGTTTGGTAGATAAGCCTGCTTAATTACAGTTAATCTCTAAGGGGGAGAATCTTATAACTTTATGCCTTTTAGTAATATGGTACACTTTATAAAGGCTTTTTAAAAATAATCGTTTGAAAACAATAAAGTACAGGCCTGGTGCTGAAGCTTACCTCTATGTATGGACAGATAGGTCACTGATAAATTACTGAAGGTGAAGATACACTTAGAGAGTGTATTACTGTATGAAGAACTGAGACCTAAAGGAGAATAATAGAATACAGATGACCCTTGAATAATGTGGGAGTTAGGGGTGCCCACTCCTGTGCAGTCAAAAATCCATTTATAACTTTTGACTCCCCCAAATTTAACTACTAATAGTCTGCTGTTGATGGAAGCCTTGCCAATAACATAGCAAATTAACACATATTTTGTATGTTTTATGCATTATATTCTGTATTCTTACAATCAGGTAAGCCAGAGAAAATAACATGTGTTTTCAAATTGTCACAAATTACCAAAAAACTTTCCAGTATATTCATCGAAAAAAATCTATGAATAAGTGGACCCATACAGTTCAACCCTTGTTGTTCAAAGGTCAACTGTATGTGCATTCTGTGTGTCCCTAAGATGATTAGATTTGTGAAAAACCCCAGGATATTTTTAGGCCCTGTGGGCATTCTGAAATGCCAGTTTGTCCTTTTGTTGCTTGGTATTCTAAAAAGGCAGAGTAACAAAGCAGAATTGCTCTGGATGGTGTTCTATCTTATGTGTATGTATAGAGCAAAATACCAAGCAATGTTTTTTATTTTATTATTTAAGAACTATTAAATATTAAGTTTTTATTGTTTCTGTCTGGCTGCTATTACTTATTTTACTTTTCTCAATAATAACAATAAAAAATTAAAACCCTGGCCTTAGAAAAGAAGCCAGAATGGGGACTCGATTGCTGATGGACTCTGTAGTGGCAGAGCAGAGATTGCCGTTTTTGACATCTGTGATTCAAAATATAAAACTTCCAATTTTTACATGAAAAAATCTGTTTTTTGTTCTTTGATATACAGTTACTTTTTTTTAGTGCTGAAATGTAGGAACTTGCCCTCATATTCACAATTCAGGGACTATCAGTCAGTTGTATCTTGTCTAGAAAAGTGGGGAGGAACACAGAATTGAACGTAGAGAGCCTCCATGCCTGGGCCTGGCTCTAAGGCTAAAGACCTCTCTTTTTAAGTCCCTTACTTCCTTTTCCAGCTTTCCCTTTCTGCTGGTAATGTTCCCCTACTTCCATCTCTAGCTTATATGGCTTTCCTTATCTCTGTTTTATTCTGAGGCAAAGTCTGAATTGGTAACATAATTGTTTGATGTCCTTTTAAATATCAACAGCTTTATGATTTGGACTTGAAAGCAATCAGCAGTCTTTTGAACATAAATCTTTCTTTTCTCCCTAAAAACAGAAAAACTCAGAAATTCTGTCAAGTGTGGAAGGTAAAGCCATCATTCATCAGTATAACAAAATTTCGTATGTTCTGGTGGAATTTGAGGTGGTCTATCACACAGCCTGGGTCAGAGAGATCTCACAGTTACAGTATGGTGTGTATAAGAATATGCATTGATTCTATAGAGGGGTGGTAGGTGGTTTTGAATGAGTTCATGGTTATGGAGAATTTTTTATGTCTCTTTTATGTAATCTTAAGGTGGTTAGATTTAGATATGGGATGATACAATTATTTATTTCTTTGTTAATAATATTCTGATTTCATAAGCAAAAATTGTCATGTCCTTAAAGTTGATATACTTAAGATTATAGTTTCCCCATGAAAAACAGTATTTGAAAATAAATACTAAGACTGTTTATAGGTATTTCACCATAGACTTAGGAAAGGTTTCATACTCCGTTTTATCATGTCAAAGATTCGAATTTCAGTCTCGGTTAGGGAAGGAAGGATTGCGGCTAGCTTGTCTTCCTCCTTCCCTTTCTCCCTGTCCTCTTCCTTCATCCCTCCTTCCTCTATTTTTCTCTTTCTCTCTTCCTTCCTTTATTTTTCTATAACTGAATTTAACTCAATTTTGAGCTCCAATAAATTAAGAATATTAGGACTGTAACTAAGTACCTTGAGGGGTGCCAAGGCTCGGGCAGCGTTAAGTGTGAGGCAGGGATGGATGGTTTGAAGCCCATCTGGGGTATTATTACTGTGTGGGCTCAATTGTTGGCCAGTTCAGGTTCCTGTTTTGTCCCATCTTGTCCATAACCTTGGTGGAATGCTGACTGTGTTCCCTGGTAGAAAGGTTTCTCCCTCTCACATCAGGGTCTCTGTTTCAGCAGAGCACAGAACTGCAGGGACACAAAGCTCAGATTCTGCGGTTCAATCGCTGGGAGTAGTCCCTCTGCCTCTTCATTCCAGGCCCATATATTTTACCAGCTGGGGACACAGGACTACATATAGGTCATTGATTCACTGGATGCCTGCATTCTCAAGGACTGGACCCCAGCCCCATGGGGTGTTCTCCCTAGCTGGCACCTTTGTTAAGCCTTTAATAGGCCACTTCTCACAGGCCAGCTGTTTCTGGCTAATGCATATGGTGGGACCCTCTGGATCCTAATGAAAGCCTGCCAATAGAACAACACTCTCAAAGGAGCATCAAAAGAAGCTTAATGACATTCTGGAAAAGGGCAAAAGAGGCAGTGTAACACCTGAAAAATGGAGTGTGTGATATTTTGCTTCTACAGTACCATGCACTTTTCTACCTTTTTTGTCCTGCTGGTTTTACCTCTTATCTGGGCACTTTCAAAAACAAATTTAAGAGTCACTGTTTCACAAAGCTTCCTTATTCTTCCTGGCAGAAAAGAATGTCTTCCTCCTCTAAAGTCCTCCACACACTTTATCTGCAGTTCTTTCTCATGACACTTATTGCTTTATAGATCTGTCTTATCTCCCCTACCAAGGATACTCTCTCCATCTGTTTCATTTTTGAGTCCTTTAAGTAACAGCCATAGATAACATTTATACAGTGCTTACCATGTGCCAGACCTTGTCTAAGCACTTTACATATACAACTCCCTGTAATTCTCATGACAGCCCTACGAGGACTATTATCCTCATTTTATAGATGAGGAAACTGAGGTACTGAGAGGTTAAGTGCCTTGCCAAAGATCGTGCAGCTGCAAGTGGCAGAGCCAGGACTCATATCTGCCTTCCATGTGAACACAGTGCAGTGGGAATGAATTGCTCTGGAAGTCTTCTTGTTATATTGCTGTGACTGAATTTAACTATATAAGAACTCAGAATAATAACTGGGGACCTTGTATCCCCATTGCATAAAATTCTCTGATAATGATCTGCATGCAATGAAATATTTGCTTAGTCCTGGAGCAGATTTCCTGGCTGTCATTGTTCTTAATGGTCTTGCTGACCACTTTTTCCTTTCAAGAAAGCTCAGTACAGCCTTAAGGAAGACAGATTCCATTGGATCAATATTCAAAGATTATTTTGGAATTTACTTGGAGAATAAATGACTTCTAGTTCAATTTTTAAAAGATTCCAAATGAACTGGGTAAAATTTTTAGTTGAAATCCTCAAGAAATCGGCATCATTTGGAACCACATCAAGACTAATTTTATCTAATGAGTTAAAGTCAACTAACTTCATGGGGATATACAGAATATTTTATTCTTAAATTTTATTTTTAATTAAAAAATTTTAATTTGATGCAGCCACATTCTGTGAAGTAATGAGAGGCTTGGAAGATACATGTGAAATTCTCATGTTAGTAGTGTTTGTTAATATAAGATGTAACTTACGCTAGCACATACACATCTGTTAGTGTGTTATTGTTATCCCTCTAGAAATAATTCATGTTATTAGAAATAACAACAAATAATCTAAGGCTACTCAGTATGAACTGTTTCGGATTATGTATTTTAATTCCTAATAGCAAGCATATCTGAAAATGCCTATTTATGTGAATGATGTTCATGTGCTAGTTTAGATGTGGTGTAAAAAAAACGCTCCTCTATATTCTAAGAGTTCACAACACAATTATGATGACTATTTCTTACCAATATTGAGCCTAGTTATCAGACATTGATGATGGAGACTTACTTTGGATAAACCTTGGGTTAGGTGTGGAAAAGGATCTGTTGTATGAGGCGTTTCACATTTTGTAGTTGTGCAGATCTTCTAGTTATTTCCCAGGGGATAAATCACAATGTATAAAAATAAGCTAACATTGTATTAAGCTCTCTTAGACACACTCAGAGAAGTATTGCTGTTCATAGCACAAAGGCCATCTGTTTTTGGTCTATTTTTATCTCTCTGGAACTTATTTTATGGCTTTGCACATACTCTGCATTCATTTATCTAAGTTTTAAGTGCTGACCATGTGTCAAATACTGTGCCTTCACCTGGGATGGCCAAAACTTGTCTGCTTTTAAGAAGTCAGTAGTCTAGTATGGGAGAAAGGCATTCATACAATGCTGGAAGCAGAAAAGAAATCCAGAGTAACTAATGTCAACAATCATTTGTTTGTAGCTTTACAAGCCACACTTTTTGTACGACATCCAAAAACAGGGAAGTTGCTGGTTAATTTTGATCCCCAAATTCTGACAGTTGTTCGGGAAACTAAATGCATGATAAAAATGAAGCTCGAAATACCAGAACAGGCAAAAAAGTTGCTAAAATTGGAAAGCAAATTGAAAGGAGACAAATTGTATTTACAGGTAAAATAAATTATAGATTATATATTAGAATTATTTTTGAACGAGTTTTTTTGTGGGGGTAAAGAAAAATATATCACTACAATGGTTCATTCTTATGTGGCAGTGAGGAGAAATTTGTTACTATGTTAATTCTTTTTATTTTTTCAGCTTTACTGCAGTATAATCGCAAAATTGTCAGTTATTTAAAGTGTACATTGTGAAAGGATTCCTCCCATCTAGTTAATCAACACATATTATCATCCAACATAATTATATAAGTATATATAAAACTTTTTTTGGTGAGAGCATTTAAGTTCTACTCTCTTAGCAAATTTCAAGTAGATTATACAGTTATCAACTATAGTCACCACATTATACATTAGATCCTCAGACCTTATTCATCTTTTATACCTATAAGTTTGTACCCTTTTACTAACCTCTCCCTATTTCCCCTCTCCCCCTGCCCATGGCAGTCACTTTTCTCCTCTTCATTTTTATGGGTTTAGCTTTTTTAGATTCCACGTATAAGTGATATCATACACTATTTGCCTTTCTCTGACTTATTTCACTTACCAGTGCCCTCAAGTTCCATCCATGTTGTTACAAATGGCAGGATGTCATTCTTTCTCATGGCTGAATAATATTGCAGTGTGTGTATCTATCCTCGTTAATTAACAATTCATCCATTGATGGACACTGTGTTGTTTCTGTATCTTGGTTATTGTAAATAATGCTGCAGTGAACATGGGAGTACAGTATATCTTTGAGATCCTGATTTCATTTCTTTTGATTCATATCCAGAAGTGGGATTGCTGGGTTATATGGTAGTTCTTTCTTTAATTTTTTCAGGAACCTCCATACTGTTTTCCATAGTGGCTGCACCAATTCCCACCAACAGTGCACAAGAGTTCCCTTTCACCACACCCTTGCCAACACTTGTTATTTCTTTCCTTTTTGATGATAGCCATTCTAACAGGTGTCAGGCAGTATCTCATTGTTTTGATTTGCATTTCCCTGATGATTAGTGATGTTGAGCACTTTTTCATGTACTTGTTGGCCATTTGTATGTCTTTGTTGAAAAAATACCTGCTCAGTTTAGTTCTCCTGCCCACATTTTAATTTGATTTTTGTGTATGTTGTTTTGCTATTTAGGTCTGTGAGTTCTTTATATATTTTTAATATTAACCCTTCATCAGATACATGATTTGTAAATATTCTCTCCCATTCTGTAGGTTGCCTTTTCATTTTGTTGATGGTTTCCTTTGTTGTGCTGAAGCTTTTTAGTTTGATATAGTCCCAGTTGTTTATTTTTGCTCTTGTTGCTTGTGCTTTTGGTGTTGAATCCAAAAAATTGTTGCCAAGCCTGAAGTCAAGGAGCTTATACCCTATGTTTTCTTCTTGGAGTTTTATAATTTCAGGCCTGAAATTTAAGTCCTTAATTCATTTGAGTTGATCTTTGTGTATGGCATAATATAGGTGTCCAGTTTCATTCTTTTGCATGTGGCTGTCCAGTTTTCCTAACACCATTTTTTGAGCAGACTCTCTTTTTACCGTTGTATATTTTTGGCTCCTTTGTGTACTTTTGCCCCTTTGTAAATGAATTGACCATATATATGGGTTTATTTTTGTGCCCTTTATCCTGTTCACTTGTGGATTCTTGATAGTATTAACATACTGAGATGCAAACAAAAGAAAAGATTGGAGTTGGAAAACTTAAAGTGAAAATATGATCAGACATCAGATTTAGACTTCTGGATAATGACAATGATGAATAGCAAATTTTTAAAAATATTATTACTATAATAATTTTATATATTAAGTGCATTACATTATATAATGTATTTAACCCTAAGTTTACTATTAAAATACAAATTAATAAAGTAGGATGACTATAAAATGAAATAAGTAAAAAATGATTTGTCAATATTGTGGGATAAAATGGAGCAACAACAATAAAAACCAGAGTATTAGAATAGAGATTCCCCAGTTATTAAAAATAACAACTTTATTGAGCTATGATTCATATACCATAGAATTCACCCACTTAAAGTGTATAATTCAGTGGTTTTAGTATATTCACAAAGTTGCACAGCCATCACCACAATTTTGTAACCTTTTCATCAACCCCAAAAGGAATCCCACTTCCATTAGCAGTCACTACCCATTTTCTCCTGTCTCTTTTCTCATACCTTCCTCTAGCAACCACTAGTATACTTTCTGTCTCTTTAGATTTGCCTATCCTGGACATTTCATACAAGTAAAACCATGAAATATGTAGTGTTTGTGACTGGATTCTTTTTTATGGCCAAGTAATATTCCCTTATGTGGTTATACCATGTTTTAGTTATTCATTCATCAGTTGTTGGACTTTTGGGTTGTTTTCACTTTTTGGCTGTTAGAAATAATGCTGCCATTGACAACTGTATACAAGCTTTTGTGTGGATAGATGTTTTCATTCTCTTGGAGATACACCTGAGAGTGAGATTGCTGGGTTTCAGAAATGTGGTAATTCTGTGTTCAATCTTACAAATAACTGACACACTTTGTTTTTTAAGAGGTTGCACTTAACTGAAGTGTCCATTAATAGATGAATGGATAAAGAGATGTGGTACATATATACAGTGGAATATTATTCAGCCATGGAAAAGAAAGAAGTTCTGCGTTTTCAACAACTTTGACCTAGAGGATATTATACTAAGTGAAATAAGCTAGGCAGAAAATACAAATACCATATGATTTCACTTATTTGTGGAATCTAAAACAAAACAAAACAACAGCAATAGACTCATAAATACTGAGAAGTGACTGGTGATTACCATGGAGGAAGCATTGGGGTAGGCGGATTAAATAGGTGAAGGGGTTAAAAATGCATAAAATCTTAATAATAACATAAATTAGTCACTGGAATGAAAGTACAACATAGAGAATATAATCAATAGTTCTGTAACATCTTTCTATGTTGACCATAACTACACTAGTTGAGGTAAGCATTTAATAATTAAAAAAATAAATAAATACATGTTCTGTTAATATCTTAAAAAAATAAATGAAGAGGCTTCATTACCTTATATTCCCACCAGAAACACTTAATCTCTCTAAGCACATGGGTTTGCCTACACTGATAGGGCTATAAGTACTCATCGAACTAGTTGCAGAGTGGACCAAAAATATACAAACTCTTCCTTGTCACTGAGTAGTATTAGAACAAGTTATGTAGAATGCTTTTGTTTACACAGAGCCCTTGTATCACTTTGAAATAGAAACAAGAAGCAAACAACTGCTTCGTAAGAGTCAGACTGAAAATCCAGGTCTTGATGAATTTTCTGGTCTCCACATCTGTCATATGTGTCACCCTTTCATTAAAAAAAAAAAAGAGAGGCTGCATTTTTTTATTCCCACCAGCAGTGTGTGAGGGTTCCAATTCTTGTCATTCTTGTCAATACTTATTATTATCTGTCTTTTTCATTTGGACATCATTTGGATGTGAAGTGGTATTTCAATAAGGTTTTGATTTGTACTTTCCTCATGGCTAATGAGGTTGAGCATCTTTTCATGTGCATATTGGCTCCTTGTAGATGTTTGGAGGAATGTCTAATCAAATCCTTTGCCCATTTTTAAATTGAGCTATTTGTCTTTGTATTATTGAGAGGTAAGAATTCTTCATACATTCTGGATACAAATCCCTTATCAGATATATGATTTGTAAATATTTTTCTCCTGCTCTACAGATTATCTTTTCATTTTCTTGATTGTGTCTTCTGAAGCACATTTTTAATTTTGGTGAAGACCACTTTATCCATCTTTAATTTTTCCCTTGTTTTTAATGTCATAGCTAAGAAATCTTTACCTAATCCAAGGTCAGGAAGATTTATGCATATGCTTTCTCCTAATAGTTTAATAGTTTTAGCTCTTACCAAAATAGTATTTAATTGTTATTAAGGAAAAAAATTTCCAGAAATGTTGGCATTGTGGAAATTTTGGCTTCAACATCAAAAGCCCTAGTTTTTTTCTACTGGCTAATTGTGACTTTGGAGGGTTGAGTGTCAAAGTACTGTTATAAATTGAGGTTAATATCACTTGTGTTGCATTTTGCAGGATTTTAGTTAGCATTGAATGATATTATGAAAGTTGAAGTCCTTTGCCAAGTGTAAGTACACAGTAAAAGTTCAACTACAAGTAACAGAATAGCAGGGAAGGAGTTAACTTTGAAACTACTGAGTAAACATTGTAGTAGTTTAATATTATTAATTTGAGGAGGAATTAATTTAAATCCACATCTCCCATTACACACAGTACAATAAATTACAAAGTGGTCAAAAATTGATCAGTATGATCCATCTATAAGAAATGTCTAAAAGAAAATAGAAAAACTTATTAATTCTGATTGTGCTCTATGTATTTTGATCCAAGAAATCAAGTGTGGCATCTAATAAATATGCTTCAATATGCCAGAAGATAAGGAACAGAAAGCGGGAAATGTATAATGGCAGGCATCATGAATGGATAACTATCCAAACTATTTAAAATAGCATAAATGTAGAAAGGCAATTAAATTATAAACATCAAAAATGCAAATATAGAAAGCTCCATTTGACTCACTGCTTAAAGGGAATCCTCAGGTAATTTGCTGGTGAGGATAAAGCATAATAAATTAATATACATTTAAATGAGCAGCCTCCATCTTAGCAGGACTATGAGGAAGTAGGTATAATGAAAACTATCTGGTATAAATCAAAATATGACGTTGCTTTAAAATAAAACATGTCATTTTGACTTTTAACAGGGTGTTCTGCAATATCATGATGAGTTATGTCAGAAAGTGCCTTCTGTGTTTGTCAATCTGATGACCCCTAAAATGGAAAAGGTTAGTAGTGCTGAAGGTTTATAATGATTTCCCTGTTGTTTAAAATTAGATTCCTATTCTACAGATTATAGATTCCAGAACATCTACTCTTGCCTAGACCCTCTGTCTTTCTGGTACAACTTTATAACCCTATTTTTCCTACAGAATGATTTCTTGTCTAAGTTTTGTTGCCTTTGAAAAACAAATAAATCTAAATAATGAGCAGCTTCTAAGAATCCATGATTGCCTTATGGATAGCCAGAGATTATTAAAAACAAAAAATCACCTTTATAAGGTAAAATGTCAGGGAAATATAATTAAGGAAATATAACCTATAATATTTCTGGATAATAAAAGACTTTTTTTATAAATGCAGATGCTCCTGTTAATAATGGAAATTGTTATCTTTTTTCCTTTTTTAGGTGGAATTTGTGTTGAGACAAGGACTCACAATATTAACATGGTCATCTTTAACACTAGAAAGCTTCTTTCAAGAAGTTGACTCAGTTTTGGATATGTTCAATCAATTTTTGAAGAAGGTATGCCAGATAAATTTTTTAAACTATATACATTAATACTCAGCTTATAAGTAATAGTTTGTCTTTGGAAGCTCTTTAGTAGGTATGACTTTTAACTAAAAAGGTATCTATTAAGTTAAAAAAATGCTCTGTTTCTTTAACTGCTTTGGGACCTCTTCATTTAGGGTTGCTTTGTTCTTGTCTCTAAATTACTTTGCCTTGAATATGTTAAAATGATGGTTCATCTCCACAGTGTAGTTTAGAAAATGGGATAATTGTAGACTATGGGAAATGGCAGAATGGAGTGCTTACATATTAATAATAATGCATCTACTATTAACTAGATGAGGCTTTCATCTAATTGGAGTCTGTCTATTGATTGCTGACACATTTCCTACATAGAACAAGCATATCTTTTCAGATGTGCTAGTCTGTCTATGGTGGCAACATGGTACAATAGACAAAACTCAAGTCTTGCGAATCAGATAAACCTAGGTATGATTCTCTGCCTTTCACTAGCATGTGTTCCTCCCCACCCCCCTCCCCACCGTTACTTTACTTCTCTGGCACTTGGTTTCTTTAGCTGTAAAACTGGAATAGTAATGATTCCTGGACTGCAATGAGGATGAAAGGCAGTAACACATATGAGGTTGCTCAATCAAATGAGTTCCATGTCAAGCTCTCTTTGCTCTCCTTAAATTTCCACCAAATTCTGCCATCTCGGGAGGCGAGTTTCCAGATACAGCCCCCTAAATTAGGTTATAACTCAAGTACATTTTGGATGAAAGAAGAATTTTCTCCCACATTTTTTTCTTGTTGGTAGATCAGTGACTTGTGTGAAATGCATATCAATACAATTCTAAAGGAGATAGCCAAAACTGTGTTAATTTCCTTGCCCGAAAGTGGTGCTACCAAAGTTGAAGATATGTTGATGCTCAATGAGGTATGTATTCATGTATTTTATCTTAATCATAGAAACACTGGCTCATAAACCTAAAATGTAATTTACAACCTAAAAGTAGAAATCTGTGTCAGAAGCATTTAGACATCCTAGCTTATTTTGTACATCCTCATGTCCAAAGACTTATAAGGGTTCGACACCTCAAGCCCACAGCCGTGCAGGTAGACGTTGTCTTCCTAATGCCCTTGTCCTCATGCTGGAGGCTTGTGAGGTTCTGTCAGGGATTCGTAGCTCTTCTTCCTCTGTGCATGCTCCCAGGGCGAGATCATGTATTCTCATGGCTTTAACTATCACATACTTTCTCTTTAATTCATCTAGAGATCTGGGAGTCATTTAGACTCCTTTCCTCACTCCCGGTTCCTAAATCCAGTCAGTCTAATGCTTAGCCACGTTTTGCCTTTTACTCACATGTTGCTTGAAATTTTTTGCTTCAGAGGATTTCTCTGTATCTACTACCCTTTTTTTTTGGTCAGGCCCTGAAGGCTCATTTTGAGTTTAGCAGTAAATGTTGTAACCCATTGTCTCAGTCTCCATGTTTGGCCCCACTGTATCCAACCTCCACATTGGCACCAAATACGATGGTGAAACCCCCCAGCTTAGATCTTTCAATGGGGATGGCATCTAGTCCTACAGGGTAAAAACCTAATAACCTCATCAGTATCTCATTGAACTGAAATTATTTGAATACCCATTTATCCTTCATTGGCTCAAAAGAACTCTGTCTTATCATTTTTGATGCCCAGCATATAACACAGTTTCTCTCAAAACTACTTTATACCTTGAACTGAACTTTTTTTCCTGCCTGCCTTGTGCTTCCACTAGGCCAGCCCTACTGGCTTGGGTCTCCTTGCCAGGGTCCTTTTCAAGACAACCTAGGGCATGGCTCCATCTCAAGAGGTTCCATCCGGCCCATGGCAATATATGCCTTTGCCCCTCTTTCTATGGAAATGCAGCTGCTGCTTCTCAGGACACCCTACTTTCCTTTAGGGATTAGGGTAGCCAGACAGCCTGTTGCCTCAGGACTCCTTAGGCATGGCTGAGCCCCTCTATCCCAGGGCCTCTCCTGCTGCCTTTTAAGAACCACCTCTTTTGTAATAGGCAGGATCTTAAAATCATTTGCTCTCAGCATAGAGACCTTTGCTGTAATGGAGACAACACTAAATGACCCATTTCAACATCCTGTTCTCAGAGCATGCAAGTTTAAAATGATTATATAGTTTCTTTTATCATTATTAAATTTTTTTATTCTTGAGGCTTATTTTCTTTAATGTTAATAGAGTTTACAGCAGCTTTTTTATGTTATTATTTTCCAGCTATATCTTTCTCTGTTCTTACATTTTCAACCTTTCTGCATTCTCCTATCTGAAGTTTTTTCTTGTAAAGAACATTTAGCTGGATATTGTTTTTAATCTACCCTGAAAAATCTCTTGTTTTTTTAAAAAACATTTTTTGTAATTGTGTCTATTTACATTTGTTCTAACTATCAATGTATTTGGATGACCTTCTATTCTCTACCCTCTTACTTCATATTTTTGATTTATCTGAATTTATTTATCTGAGTTTATTTTTTTCTTTTTCAATTATCTCTTCTTTTCTATATAATCTTATACCTTTCTTGTGTTTTTGATTCTATTTCTTACTTTTACATTTAAAATATATCTTATAACAATTTCACTATCTGAAGAAATTGGAGGGTATTATTCTACTCGTTGCTGCTTCTGCCAACTTTTGCTCAGAGTGGCCTGTTTCTTAGTGTTTTTACTAGCTTGAATTGTGACCTAATGCACACATGTGCATTTGGTTGAAACCTGTCCATTTTTATTTGCTCCTGCATGGTAACTACGAATTTTACTGAATCAGGACTGCTTCATGTTAGTTTCCCAGAAAATAGAATTTCTAAAACTACAAGGTGGAATAAACTCAAGCCTTAAACCTGTGTGTGGGCAAGCTAGTCGTTGTAGACTCCTGAGGGAGAACTTGTCCCTCCACCCCAGAGGCTCAACCAAGATAGTTAACTTTCCTTGAGACCATAGCCATTGATTTGCCTGATGTTATGTGGGGGAGTGGAGGGCAAGGGGTAGCTCTCAGTTCCAGCCTCCTACCCTTGTGAGGGGTCCAAGGCCATTTTGGGCATTTTGCTCATGGAAACCAAAAATCCCCAGAGACGTCATGGCTTCAGTTTACTTTTTTTCCTTTAAAAACGGCCATTGCTATCTGGGCGCCACCCCCCCCCACCCCCAGAGCTCACTGTCCTCCCCGCAGCTTGGCCAGTCCTTGCCAAAGGGCAGCAACTTGAGGTTATTTTCATTTTCAGCCCACGTTTCTTTTCTTTTGCTAAGACATAATCATATATAGCAAAGTGTGCAAATCATAAAAGCACCATTCAGTGAATGTTTACATATGAGGCACCCCTGTAACCACCTCCAAGTTGAAGATCTGCAACACTTACTTCGCCACAAATGATTCCCTCATGCTCCATCTCAGGCAGTCACCAGAAGCAATCACCCTTTTACTTTGATCTCTGTATATTGGTTTGTTCTGTCTTGAACTTCATGCAAATGGAATCAGCAGCATATGGTCTTTATATCTGGCTTATTTTGCTCAGTATTAGTCTGTGAGATTCATCTTTGCAGTAGTGTGAAGCAGTTCTTTTGTTCTCATTATTGTATAGCATTCTACTGTATGAGTACTATAATTTATCCATTCTACAGCAGAGGGTGTTTGGATGGTTAATGGATTTGATAATACACTTCGTGTTCTTGGCCATGTTTTTTTGTGGACTTAAGCACTTATTTTGGTGGACATATTCCCTGAAGTGAATTGCTGGGTCCTAGGTTGTGAGTATATTTGGCTTGTACAGAAACTATCTTTTTAGAGTTGGTCTGTTTGAATTAGGAGCCAGACAGGTTCACACATTGCATTTGATTGATGTGTCTTCTAAGTTTCTTATTGTCATCTCCCTGCCCATTTTTTCTTGCAAAATTTTTGTTATGTAAAAAATATGTAACATAAGTTATCATTTCAACCATTTTAAAGTGTGAAGTTCAGTGGCATTAAGCACATTCACAACGCTGTGTAACCATCACCACTATCTAATTTCCAGAACATTTTTATCATTACAATCAGAAACTCTGTACCCGTTAAGCAATGATTCTCCTTTCCTCCCTCCCACCAGTCCCTGGTAACCTCGATTCTCCTTTCTGTCTATGCATTTGCCTATTCCAGGTACCTCATAAAAATGGAATCATACAGTATTTGTCCTTTGGGGCCTGGCTTATTCACTTAGCATAATGTTTCCAAGGTTCATCCACTTGTAGCATGTATCTGAATTTATTCCTTTTTATGACTGAGATGACTGAGTAATGTTCTGTTCCAGAGATATGCCACATTTTGTTAATCCATTCATCTGCTGATAGACATTTGAGTTGTTACCACATTTTATCTACTGTGAATAATGCTGCTATGAACATTGGTGTGTAATTAACTGTTTGAGTCCCTACTTTCAATTCCTTTGGATACGTACTTCACAGTGGAATTGCTGGATCATATGGTAATTCTATATTTAATTTTCTGCGGAGCCACTAAACCTTTTCTATTGTGGTTGCACCATTTTACATTCTCATCAGCAATGTACAAGGGTTTCAATTTCTCTGTTTAAAATTTTGAGAAAATTCCTAATGAATGTGAAGTTATGTGAAGTGATATCTCATTGTGGTTTTGATTTGCATTTCCCTGATGACTACTGATGATGAGCACCTTTTCATGTGCTTATTGGCCACTTGTATATTTTCTTTGGAGAGATGTCTATCCAAATCCTTTGCCACCTTCCTTCTTTTAATACTTTTTTTAAAAAAATAAATTTTATTTTATTTAAAAAATAGGCAACTTTGTTATAATGAGACCTTGTCATAAATCTCATACTGTAATAGTCTGAGACTATAATTAAAAATGGGTTCTGCTGGCAAATGTTGGGAAGAGGCCAATAAGAAAGTTACAATACATTGCCTATTTACAAATTAACCATTACCTGCCAAAAGCACATCGGACCCACACAGCGGACATCCACTAATCCAGTGGTTAGCCGTTCCAGGCTCTAATGCACACTGTTTTACACGTTAACGGTTTTGAAGTTCCAGGCCAAAGCTGACCTTTCACATGTGCTCTGTTCACAGTAGGAATCTCCACTCACTGCTTCCTGTCAGAATGGATTATCGTGACATAGCCCAGGGCTCACTTTGGCTGCAATTAAGTTTGTTTTTTTTTTTTTGAGAGGGCATCTCTCATATTTTTTGATCAAATGGTTGTTAACAACAATAAAATTCTGTATAGGGGACTCAATGCACAATCACTAATCAACCCCAAGCCTAATTCTCAACAGTCTCCAATCTTCTGAAGCATAACGAACAAGTTCTTACATAGTGAATAAGTTCTTACATGGTAAACAGTGCAAGGGCAGTCATATCACAGAAACTTTCAGTTTTGATCACGCATCATGAACTATAAACAATCAAGTCAGATATGATTATTCATTTGATTTTTATACTTGATTTATATGTGAATCTCACATTTCTCCCTTATTATTACTATTATTTTTTAATAAAATGCT